TTAGTAAGCTTGTCTATTAATTATTTATATTTCAGGTATTATTGCTGTTATACAATACTCTTTGCTTTAAGGGACTCAAGTTGAGTTAATTTATTGTAAATACTATTACTATTTTTAGAACATATAGGGTTAGGTACTCCTAGTCCCTAGTCGATTTATTTTGTTCTTGTTCTGGTTCGAGTGTTAATAATTGTCAGTGTTCCAGAGCGTTCGGAAAACCCTCTCCGAACCTGATCTGGAGTCAAACCTGTTCTTTTCTGGTTCTAATTGAAAACCCGTACCTGATTGTAGCAAAGCGTTTTACTTCTGTCCTTCCTTCTTGTTTAGTTTTATATTGCAGGTTGTGCTGCTATAGGTCCGTAGAAGTTTCCTGCTTTCGTTATATCGGTTGACTTCGTGTACTGCAGGGAAAAGCAGGTGGCGCTCTATATTTAATTATTTAATTGATCCACACCCCTCTCCGCATTGGAAGCTAGTCGGCAACCCTTCACTCGAAGCCCCGTTTCTAGATTTTAGCCACCGACCAACCCTATCTTTCTATTTTCTTTTTGTTTCAGTTACCCATTCACTGCCTCACTTCAATTACTTCCTCAAAGTTTATTATTTACCTTTCAATCGGTTTTGCGGGTAACAATATTTCGAAACGAAATGGGAAATAAACCTATGATTATGATTATTGGAAATTAAATTTGCAGTTACAGTAAACTTTCGTTTCAGTAAATTGTGTTGAATCTAGTTACATAAACTGAAATATCCCTTTGAGTTTTAGAACATGGTAAATTTGTATATTTCACTCTTGCGTGACAGTTGGTTTATGAATCAAAATAGTAATTCAATTTGAGTTGTTTTAAAAGTAGTCTTCTGTGTAAGAAAATAATAAAAATAGTTTTGATAAAGCATTTTATTAACCTAGGTATATTTGGAATTGGACATATCTAGGTCAAGGTTAATGCACATTCAGCAGTCTCGTGCCCAAAATTAAAAAGATAAATTTCCAGTTTTTGTTTTCATTGCATAAAATTTGTATTTAAAAAGATATCGTGTTCAACAAACCATGGAAGAATTTAAAAGTTCGTTAGAACAGCGTGTGGATTGCTGCAGCAAAAGGTAGATATAATGAAAGAAATATTTTTGAATAGCAATTTGACATTTAACAATAAGGTTCTTTTTGGCTAGAGGTAATTTTTTGAAGAAAAAAAATGGTGTCAAGAATCTGTTGTCCTGATCGAGGTAAGGGTTTTCCTTAATTAGAGAATAACAATTATTGTTCCAAAATCACCCCTAGTGATATCTGCTCCACTAGACACCAAAGTCATCCAAAATGTATACCTAGACCATTGTGTATTGATACTTCAAGGTCATAACTATATATTTCTCACAATGTGGAACTGCCTTAAAACGGAATGGAAATCAAATTTTAGAAGCTTGTAGTCCAGGAGGCAGTGAAATTTTTTAGCACTTATTTTCCCAGTTGGTATATATTAAATAGTTTGTTCTCTTGGTGATACAAAACAAGAATATTTGAGTTTCGCAAAAATTTTTGGATCGGTTCACAAGATCAATGAAAAATACAAGAACACTTATTTTCCCAGTCATAAATATTCCACATTCACTCTAATAGAACATAAAGTATATGAAAATAGCAATTTGGCTTATCTCAGATAGTGGAAAGTGAGTCTGGCTGAAATTTTTGGATCTTCAATTTTTCACTTGCCAGACGTATTATCCATATTCACAGATTAGCCGGACTATTTTTTTACGTAACTTCAGTATACTTCTCATTAGTAGACCTATTTTTATCACTTGAAAAAAAAGAGCCGTGCATTCTTAAGCTCTAACGCATTTTGTGCCTCAACCCATCGGAAAACCCCCCCTAAAAATATATGCATTTTGCTTAGAATTACTAACCCTACAATTCTATCCATGTTGTCTGACTGGGAAAATAAGTGCCGAAAATCGTCACTGCCTCCTAGACTATTGGCACAGCATATACAAAAACAATCAGCATGCTTACTCTGACGCGCATCTTTTCTGCGCACGCCGCCATTAGGGGATACCATCCTGTCATTAAACGGCAGGGACGCCGACATTTCAATTTATTTGTTTATTTCTGATGGAGGTCATAGGCGTGCGGTGTAGAGCGGAATTTCATTTATGATTTTCAAAGTGACTTTAGTATATTCGTGTTGTCATTTATGATGATATCAGTTATCATTCTTATATATGTATTTAATAATAATAATAAATTAGTATTTATAAATATTATTATATGTAAGTAATAATAAATTAGTTTATTTAAGACCAATACGACTCTGTGACACGAAAGAAAAAATCTAAATTATTGTTAATCAGGCCCTGTCTCGTATCCCAAAATGGCCGCTAGTAACATCCCGACCAGGAATTCCTTTATTACACGGGCTGTCATTCAAGTTAGCCTGCTGATTGTTTTTGTATATTGGCGATTTCAAAAATCAATGCGGCACCTGGCGGAAATATTTGGAACTAAATAAAAGATTAATAGATTGTTTGTTTACATACCGTATTGGAATATTTTCTTGCTTTTTCGATGTTTTCTGTTCGTTCCTAATTTAAATTACGACGTGTTTTGTGTCGAAAAGTGGGAAATAATCAAGGGAAAGCTTTAATTGTGATTCTGTGAGGTGCTTTATTACAGGAATTCGATAGCATCTGCCTCAAAGTTCCAGCACAATACAAACTGCTGTGTATACGAATGCCATTCCCGAAAATATGCAGACAGAACTATTCATTTTTACTATTTTCCTAAGAAAAATAGTGATCGCGTGAAAATTTTGAATGGACTCGGACAAGAATAGGTGATAGATCGGAGAAAAACTGTGGCCAAACTCAAAGACGGGCCTCCATTTTCCACATTTCGTATTGTATGGATACGAAATGCACAAAAGAAAGTCACAACGTTCAAAATTTAAAGAATATAGTAAAAAACCACCGAAAAAAACTACGAGAACAACAAGAAAATTAGCGAAAGAAATACGAATGCATATAAATACAATGCTGAACGTCAAAATATTACTTGTTTCCCGCCATATTTGTTTACAAACGCCAGCGCCCTCATCGGTAGTCGAAATCGCTAATGCTGTGCTATTGGTGTCTATATTTAACCGAAAGTTTGAGTGCGTTAAGTAAACTAATCACGTCCAGAATATTGGGTTTCGATTTCGGAACTTATTTGCATGAATAAAAAGTTCTCTTTGAGGTTTAAAATGGTGAGACATTGCTCATGTATTTTACTCGTTGCGGCTGGTTTATGGCATAACTTAAATTTTTAATCTACATTTCATTTGCAAGTTATCTTCTCATTTCTATAGCTCTCTTCTCGGATAAATTTACAGTAAAGATTTCATACTGTTCAATGCTCACATTATTATGAATAAAAATATCATAGATTTCAAGTTCAATAATTTCAAAGATATAGGCTTCAGGATAAGGTGATTTCACTCCATTGGGCGCAGAATATATAGACTACCGAGAAATGAGAAATTATGTTTAAATACCTACAATAATCAATTTTTAATGATCAAGCAAATGGAATCAGTTTGATTGTAATTATAATGTCAATGGAATAAATAAATTTCAAAACAGGGTCACAGTTGCAAGTTAGGCAACAGAGAGCTAGCTAAATTGAAATAATGGCTGTGCGTTGCTCCGAATGAATCGCTCCCTTTCTGGTTAAATTCATTATTCACTGGAGGCTTTTCTAGTTTATATCCAAAAATGCTTTTTGGAAAATATACAGCTGACAATTAGATAATTAGATTTGTACCTCAAACAAATTCAACTTTATTTTATTAAATAACCTTCTAAAAAAAGTTCTTTTATTGTCCCTAAGCGGCATAATCAATTCAGGCCAAAGTATTGTATATTTAATTAGACGAAGCGCCCAGGAACAATTCTTGTCGCAGTGAAATGACTTAAACATTTATCAGTTTAATTCGCAACTTTGCTAGCTTTCATGGCAAATTTCCCGGGTCTGTGTGGTAAAAATGTCTCCCCAAGGGCACATCGTTTTGCTTCCAGCTTCAGGCGCTTTGCCATACTGTAAATGCCAACCTACTCGAAAATTTACTAGATTTAAATGAGAGATGAAAGGGTGTACCATGTGTGTCCTACACTTGTTTTACTAGAAAACGGTCGCCCAACTTATTTGAGGGTCGCTTATTCTATTTAGCTTGAAACTAGGATTTCAATATGGACAGCATTGAAGGGCTACATGAAGTAGGCCTAATGGGAAATAAGAAATTGCCGGCAAAAATATCAATTTCGCTCAACAACAAATCAAAATCAATTCAAATCAATTATTAGATCATCCCTTATGTTTTCAAAATGCTCTCACATAGGAGTATAAAAAAAAAACAAGGAAACATTAGAGGGACTACCAAATAATTGATTTCAAGTTGGAACATAACAAAGCTTCTTGAACCTTATTAGTACAAGGGTATTCAGAAGGCTATTCATATTGTTCTTCTCCTGCAGCCATATGAGTCTTAACTTTGGGCCTTGGCCTCTTCTTGTTTAAGCCAACAGTCTTATCCCCCAGTTTGAAGTTTGATTTACTTTCAAGAAAACCGCCCTAACTCATCTAAATTGCGTTGTATTCCCCAGCATCCATGACTTGCTTCCGGCTTCTGCGCCATCTATTGTTCCTTTCATCCACGATTTACCAACCAAATTTCTAGCATAGCACTTCCTCCATGAACCTTTGTGTTCTCTACCAAGAGTTTTATCTACCATTATCCATGGCATGATCCACTCTCAACTCACTCAATCTTGCTATATTTATCAATATTGTATAATAGGTGAGAAAAGGCTATAAGGATTAAGGTCTTAGTTGTTCCAATCCTAACCATTTTAGTAACCTGTGCGACCAATACCATACAATTTGGAACAAGGAATATGACATTTTTATAAGCTTTTTGAACAAGTATTTAAAGAATAAGTAGGTACACGGAAATATTGATTATATACTTTTTTTATTTTAACGGAAAATTACTAAAATTTATTTATGTTCAAATAATAGTTGTATATCTGTTTTTATTTATGGATTAAAATGTATCTAGTGGAGGAACAGCATAATTGTTATAAAGATCAGTCCAAAATTTATACCGTTCTGGCTTGGGGTAGCCAAATTTCATAACTAAATTCTCATCAATGTCCAAATATTTGAATCCACATCGCCTGATTGGTTGCCAGGTTATTCCTTGCAATAGTTCTTCATCAATACCAAGAGGTGTTGGATCTCTAGAAGAAAAGCCAAATTGATATAAATAGACAAGTTGATAAAAAAAATATTCTCACAAATATTTTGCAAAGTTGGTCCACAGAGACATCATCCTGTAATGGACTAATCGATCGGCAAGTGGAAATTGTGTAAGATTTGAATTGTCCGGTATTTCTGTGCTGTATGATCTGCTAAATATGTAATTTAATTCTTCTGAGTGCATCACTTTTCCTGCTCCTAAAAACATAAAAAATAATATGCAGCGAATTTTTTGAAGGGTTTTAAAAAGTTTTATACCTTTGACGCTGTATGCATTATTGCCCATTTTACCACTGTAGGAGAACTGGTAAAAATACACTGGATTATAAAGAGCCATTAGCTCTGCTTGTTTTACATTACCTTTATCTAAGTCATGGACACTGTGGTACTGTAAGCAAAACATTTTATACTGGATCTATTGGGGTTTGAACTATATTTCAACACGTGAAAATATGTACCTATAGTCAATCGGTAACACTAAGCTAATTCTGGAGAATGTTCACAATATTTCTAATAGTTTTTCCACTGCGTTACCATTTTACAAAATTTTTCATATTTATATATTTAGTTAGCATATGTTGGCAACAATATTACAAACCTTGATTATTTTTGCAGAATCGTTATTGAAGCGCGCACCGGCAAAATAATTCAAAATCTTGCTTCCCAGTTCGATTTTTAGATTTTCATTATTAATATGCATATCAAATGGAACCATTATTGATGGATTAGCATCATATTCCTTTGATAAAAATGACAAATCTATAAGAAGCAGCAGTCTATTAGTTTTTATTGGATATTTATTAGATTTGAATTAGATATACTATATACCTCCTAATCTGGCCAAAGCCAATGATTCTTCATCTGTATTTCCTATTAAAACTGGTAGATGATTATATTTGCCGCTGGCAAAGCTTTCATATTGAGGTTCGGTTAAAAAGGCTCCATTGTGAGGCACCTCTTTTATTGGGGCATAGAAGAATCCTTTAGATATTTGATAGTAGGCTGCAGATTCCTAAAAAATAGCGTTGTGCATGAAATTTTCACTAAAAACTTGCTTACAGAAGACTTGGTTAAGTTATAACCAGCAAGATCGATATCTGAAGCTGGTACACTTTGTAAAAATGCTAACAGATCTGTAGAATTAGTGAAATTATAGTTTGGATTGATAAGCTTGATAGTTTGCAGTGTATAATAAGTTTCATTTCGTTGGTAAGCCATTGGCGATAGTGCAGATCCACTTTCCAAGATTGCTGCCCTGAAAAGACCTAAAATGAAAAAGAATAAGATCCAATTAAGCATGATGTGTTCTAATAATGACAGTTGCTATTGAACGGGATTTTAAAAATATACGTATTCACTACAGCTCCTTGAGGTTTCAGCAACATCACGTTCAAAGTTTTTGTGAAAAAAAAATCATAATAATATGCAGAACCGTACGCATGGTAGAAGTGAAACCTCTATCGTTATCTATTGAGTGCATAAGTCGCTCTCGAGCAACTGAGATTTTGGACTTAGCGCACGAGTGGGGGTTGAAGACGTAGGACCGCAAGAAAGGGAGACGCGAATAGCTAAAACTGTGCTCTCTCTATCCTTCTTTCTACATTATATATTTTTTCTCTCTCGTGAAGCGAAATAGGCCTAAACGCCACGCGTCTTTCAAATCACTCTCCATTCTCGTCCAAATATCAGACCGCTGCCTAAGAAGTTTCACTTCAAAAAAATGAGATTTTATATAGCTGCAATTCACATTATGCTCTCGTGACAATCCATGCAAATAATTTCGTCTAAAAGAGAAACCGCTGAAGATCGAAACTTTTCTGTTACGCTGTTTGCCATCAGCAATTCTTGCAATGCATATATAAGCTTTCATTCACATACATATTTATAATGTGTACAACTTTTCGTCGTACCTACACAAGTTTTGATCGGGTAATATTAAAAGAATACCCAGGTTCACCAGGCTCATTCCGATCAAGATCCGTGTTGCTTAGAATTATTAGATATATATTTATTGGCTGGGTTCAATCTGCAGCAGGGAAACATCACCCCTGCCATCACTTTCCTTAATAATCTACAACTATAATAATTGTAGTAGGTATTGTACCTTGTGACAAGGGACTTATTAAATGATATCCAACAGAAGAACCACCAGAACTTTGTCCAAAAATGGTAACTTTTTTGGGATCACCACCAAAATAGGCAATATTTCCTTGAACCCATTCAAGAGCTAACTGTTGATCTTTCAGTCCCAAGTTTCCCGGAAGAACCTCATCACCAGTTGATAGAAAACCTAAAAAATATTCTACATCAAGCTTCTGAATTGCCCAAAAAGTCGTTTCAAAATAAAACTTTGAGTTACAGATTTTCTTGCTGCACAAAACTTAAATTAGCTATTCACTTCTATTAAATTAGGTAAGCAGTTTGTCCAAACAGTTTTTGTTTTGCTGGTCAAAAATCTCCTTCAGATAAATTGTTGGTACCTAATGGCCCAAGCCTATAGTTGAAAGTAACCAAGATAACATTGGCATCCATAAAGAATTTAGGTCCCAAACTTCCTTTACTCATGTATCCTGCTCCTGATACAAATCCACCTCCATGAATATATGCCATAATGACCAAATCGGATTCATTGTTATTTGCTGCAAGATTCTAGAAGAAATGTTAAATGGATTTGTAAGTTGATCAAATAGTTTGAAACACTGAAAACAGAGAGCCAGCGTCAGATCTGGTTTTTTTATACCAATTTCCGCGACTTCGTCCCAAAGTTAAATTGCAATCTCCGTAATACATGCCACTTCTTGAACTTTCCAAAGTTTCTATGAGATTTAAGTGATCTTTTTTTGGAAAAAAAAATTTTTCTTGTTTAGTTTAAGATCGTTACCTTTGGCGTGAATACATTAATATATAAGCAATCTTCATTTTCTAGGTCACTGTTTTCAGCTATTTGATAGCATATATATTTTTCGTAGGTAGCATCGTATATGCCTTTCCATGCTTTTACTGGGCTTGGAGGCTAAAATTAAATTCACTTAATTATGAAAGCTTTTCATAATGGCTAGAAATATTCTAATTTAAATACATGGGCGCGAGTTAATAAAAATTAAATAATTTCTAATGGCTTTTGTTTTTGCATAATATTTAGAATTAAGTCTTCATAAAAGACGCCTAAAACTATTTTTCAATTATAAATAATTTCGTAACTGCGGGGGATGTTTGAATTATTCCAGCAAAGTTTGCTTGCTTATTGGAGCATGTACGCCTTCTATTTTGTGCAAAATTGGCAATAGCGCCCTAAAGGGTAGTTTGAAATTACCACAATATTTCATTGACTTGTCCTTATTGGACCTATAGTTTATTGAACATAGAAATAGTTACTTGAAAACGTAGGAGATCAGTGGGAGGTTCCGCATATCGCATTGCAAGGAAACTATGATATTTTGTACCAGCTAAAGTCCTACTGGTTGTACCATTTACACTTCCATGTGGTAGATCTATAACTATTCCTGCGGATAGCTAAAAGTTATTTTATAATTTTTGATTTATTGTTTAAAAACATCTGTGATGACAATTTAGTAAAATATTAAAGATTGAATTGAAAAAGTTTTTTTTGAAAAGGAGAATAGCTTTCTCCCAGACTTACCAGCACATGATAGAATATAAACAATAATCCATTAAGTAATAGCATTTTTTTAAAGAATTCAATCCACTTAGGTATAACACAAAAGACAAAAAATACTACTTAAAATGAGGATTATCCTTGACTTTTATAGATAAGATATGCCGGTTTTTTTTTTAGGTCTGTATATGGATATTTTTAGAATTCTGATTAGTCGCTAGTAAGAGAACAATAAACAAGGTACTTTACCGAATTAGTTGGTTGTGACCTTGCTTGGAAATCATCTGATACAACAAAATTATCGCATTCAATTTATTTTTATCAGTTATTAACTGAAGAATTATTGATTGAATGGTCACCGAGATTCCCAGATTCAACCGCTGTTGATTTTTTGATAAGTCAATACTTATCTAACATACATTCTTGTCAACTCTTCGTCAATCGTAAATTTTTTTCGTTTCACACGATGCGGGGCGCAATCGAGCTGCATTCTGCATAAAATAGTTAATATTGCGAATCCTCGACAATAAGACAAAAAATAGCGGATTGTCCTCTCTACACAGTTCGCGGATGGCGCCAATACACAAATTTTGATTTGCTCAGTGTCAAAAATAAAAAAAAGATATCTGTATCTGTGAGTTTGGGAGGGTGGTATGCCACAGCACTTAGGCCACAGTGGGCTCATTGTGCCTTTACAAGAGGAGAAGTCATCCTTAGTTCGTCATCCCTCATGTCAACGACAATTTCTGGCTCGCTGCTGCTTTATCTGGGTAGCTTAGCAGTTTTTTTTTTTTTTTTTTTTTTTTTTACGGATATGCGCACTCGCAAGGACAATGTCCTATCACGCTCGAGAAGCGGCAAGTGCGCGGAAATGTCGGTGTATGTTGGTCTTGAAACGGTTCAGGTTGTAACCTGCAGGGAAAACCGTCGCAGGGAGTTTATTCCACAGCGATGCTGTTCTCCAGAGATATGAATTCTGATATAATGAGGTTCTTGGTGCCTCTAGTTTGACAGTAAATTCATGGTTACCGTCTGTTTGACGGGTTCGCCTGGTAGGTGCTACTCTCGGTGGAATCATACGTGCCAACTCTTCAGAGCATTTTCCGTGATAGTACCTGTAGAAGAGAGATAAGTCGCCCACAGATCTGCGATGTTCGAGACCATCCAAGTTACGAGTGAGTGCGGGGTCATTGATCAGCTTGATAGCTCGTTTTTGCACGGTATTCAAAAGCATTAAGGTATGTTTGGGTGCAGCACTCCATATATGTGAGCAGTACTCCATAGTTGGTCGAATCTGGGCTTTGTAGAGTGTCAGCAATTGGCTTGGTGTGTACAGATGTCTTGTACGAAATAGCACTCCCAGCTTTTGGGAGGCTCTTTTAGCAATATCTGCGACGTGACTGTGCCAAGACATGTTCGTCTCTGCAGTAACCCCCAAGATGTTCAACTGACTCTGTAATGTGACAGCACTTCCAGATAGCATGATGTTTGGCTCACCGGTGCTGGTCTTTTTTGAAAACAGAGCTGCTTGGGTTTTCTGCGCGTTGAACTGTACAAGGTTTTTGTTACCCCAGTCCTCTATTATCTCCAGGTCGTTATTTATCTGCGATATTTGAGTTAGTCTAAGATGATGGAATTCACGTGCGGAAAGACCTGTGGGTGGTATGAGTGAGGAGACTACATTGCCATCGTCTGCAAAGCAATAAAGTGGATTTACTGTTTTATCTATGAGGTCATTTATGTAAATCAGGAAAAGAGTTGGCGAAAGGATTGCTCCCTGTGGCACACCAGCATTTATTTGGTAAGAGTTGGAGTTCTGGCCATCCAGTGCAACATAAATGGATCTGTCCTTTAGGTAACTTTCAAACCAAGTGCAAAGTTTCGGCGATAATCCCATTGCTTTGAGCTTGTTGAGCAGATTTTCATGCCAAACTTTGTCGAATGCTTTAGATATATCTAAGGCAATTGTTCTTGTTTCACCCCGCAACTCAATCGCTTTTTGCCATAAGTGAGTGACGTATGTAAGTAAATCGCCAGTTGACCTATATTTTCGAAATCCGTATTGCTTATCGTTGATAATTTTGTACTTTTCCAAGTACTTGGTTAGGTGATTGTTCACAACTCTTTCCATTACTTTTGATATCACCGGAAGTAGAGCAATTGGTCTATAGTTTAACGGATCTGTCTTTTTTCCTTTCTTTGGAATGGGTTGTACTGCGGCAGACTTCCATGATGATGGATATACTCCTTGCCTGTAAGACAAATTGAATAATTTTGCGAAAGTTGGGGTGAGTTCGTTGGCGCAATTTTTGAGTACTATTGCGGGAATGCCATCCGGACCCATTGCTTTGTTTGTATCCAGCTTTTTTAGGGATTTTCGTATTTCTCTGTGACAAAAGGGTACCTCTGGCATACTATGGGAAACCCTTTCATTGAACGGTGGAGTTTTTCCGTTTGGCACTGTTAGGTTGGAGTTGGAGGAAAACATTTGGGCAAGCATATTGGCTTTTTCCTCTGATGTTGTGGCTAAGTGATTATTTTTATCTGTAAGTGGTGGTATGGATGACTTGGTGAAGTTAGATCCAACAGCTTTTGCAAGAGACCAAAAAGACCTAGAACTACTTGGACAATTCAGCAACCTGTTTTTTATTCTTTGATTGTATGTTTCTTTAGCGGAGTCAATAGTAATTTTGCAACTATTTCTGGCTTCTATAAATTCTGTGTGGTTTTGAGCGGTTTGCTGTCGTTTCCAAAGGTTATATGCTCTGTGTTTTTTCTGTACAGCCGTTTGACACTGGCTGTTGAACCAAGGTTTTGCATTAGCTCTACGTCTAGTTGTATGTGGGATATATGCGTCCATTCCAGATAAGATTACTTGTGTTATTTCATTACAGCAAATAGTGGGATCAGCTGTTTTAAAGCAAACCTCTTGCCATGGAAAATCCAGGTAATACTGTTTTAGGTCATTCCATTTTGCCGATTTATAGTGCCACATTTTACGAGGAAGTGGTTGTAGGCTTGGTGGGATGAGCATTTCGCACTTTGTTATTATAAGTTTATGATCGGACGAACCAAGTGGACTCTCTACTTGAATTGTGTACGAGTCAGGATTGGTGGTTAGGAACGTCTAAAAGCGCTGCAAATTCGCCCCTTTCTGAGATACGGGTAGGTTCATCGACAAGCTGCGTTAGACCACAACTTATGGCAAAAGCTTCTGCTTCTCTGCCTTCGTTATCTGTTTTATTGTGGTGTTTCAGCCAGGGTATATTGTGGACGTTGAAATCGCCTAAAAAGACAATTTCCGCCTGTGGATAGTTTGACTGTATACTATCACAGCTTTCGGATAATGTCGCGAAAAAGTCTTGGTAATCGGTGTTACTTGGCGGTCGGTAGAGGCAGCAGATAAACTTGGTCGATGACTTTGAGGTGAATTTTAGCCATATGATATCAAGGTTCGCTGGTTCTAGCTTCTCCTCTCGATGACATGAAAGGTCATTTTTAATGTACACACAGATCCCAAAATTATGTCGAAATCGGTGGTGTAGGTCATAGCCGGGATAAAGATAGTTCACAATAGGTGTTGCAGAACTGATTTTAGTTTCAGTGAGAACAAGGATGTCAGGTCTTTGTTCTTCAAGATGTTGGTGAACTGATCCTTGGATAAGTTGCAGCCAATCGTATCGTCCCAGCACATTTTGAAAAGGATGTGGGAGCGTTCTTTGATCATATCTTTGGCCGCCGACATGATCAGTTCCACGAAGGGCTCCGGTCGGTCTCCAAGGCTGTAGCTTGGCGGCCTTCATAGTCGGCAACCCGATCACCGATTGCCTTTGCTGTGATCATGTCCTTTGATCGATCTGACGATGATGTTGCCACGTTTAATTATAAAAAAGCGAAAATACTAGGCATGGAGTATAGTTCATTTGAAAATCCATTTTTTAATAACAAAATATTGATAACAATAATAAAACGCTAAATATTTCAACGTGGTTGTTAGATCTATTCTTATTTTAATCCTGATTTCTTCAATTTGGTCTATTGTAAAAAATAAACATTTTCTAAGGATACCATCAGCTTTTGACTATTTGGCAAGCATCCGGCCTGGATGAACCTGATTGGTGGAGTTTTTGGCAAGATCGCCGTTGCCATGGGAACCATTGGGTTGTCAATGAGCTAACGTCACCTTACGTCTCGCTATTGACCAGGGCTTACGTCATTTTATCCTTCCATCTTGGAATATCGAGTTATATTGAAATATCCAGTGGCGGAGGTTTGGTCATTGCTAATTTTCGTGTACAAGTTGCAATACGATAACACTTCCAAAAAGTTCCGCACGCAGCTGGGTATTTTATTAATGAAATCAGCCATTTTTTTTACAACTGCATTCCCCTCACCGTTGCCCCGTAGACACAGAGTCGATGGGCAGACATTAGATACCCTGTTTTTTTATCGACGCCTCTGTGAGTGTACGGTGGCAATATTGTACTAATTCTGACTCGAGTCGTGGTCTAAATAGAGATAGTACTGCTTGTCTGCAGTCTGTATGAATGTGCACGTTCTTGTCAGTGATATTGTTGATGACTATCCTTCTCGAGAAGAAAATGAGAGAGTCAAACAATAAATGGCTATACAGGCCTCTGCCTGGATTCGGTAAAATGTTGATAGGGATGGACACACAAATTTGGTTTGCACCGACTCTATTTAGAGTCCAATAATCCCCCACTATCAATTGATTCTGAAAACCAGAGCAGCAGTACCTATTTATTAGCCAAAACTTTGAATTGACTCACCTCAAAAAAACGTGGGACCACCGATCACAAAATGGAGGCACACAATTGGATAAAAAAAATTAAAATATATTTATTTTTCAAAGGTAGATAAGATTTATCAGGTAAAGACTTAACAGTGATATGATTGATGATTACACTGATGGTAAAATAAATTGAAAAATTATTAAGGGAAAATCTAGAAATCTGAAAGGAAAAAACTATAATAATGAAAATCGACTTGCCTGCTCGGCCACTGCCAGGCATTTCAGAAGCAAAATCCTGCAGGAAAACGAGTTTCGTGTTTTTTTATACTTAACTGCGTATTAACCAGATCGAACCAATCAGAAGACAGCACACACCACACACAAAAGA